TTGTATGTGTCAGCGTCCGGGCCAAAGAGCCCAAAGGTTGGAAGTCTTTCTGCACTCTGATGGAACCAGCCGATTTGGCAATAAGCCACATGCACACGATCGGGTGAAACACACTTGAGGGAAGTGGTTCGCCTACATGATATGACTTTGGAAGCTTGGTCCAAGCCTGGCATATACCGGTAAAACATAATATATATATATATATATATGTTCATATATATATATATGTATACGTGTAGGTCCCTGAGGCGGGGGGTACCACATATGTATACATATATATATATATGTATGCAAATTCTGGTCCAGATTAGACTACCCTACAATACAAGAGTACTCAGCCTCATTGGACCCTCCATTCAAGGGGCTGGATCTCGCGGCCTTGCACCTGCTCCCCACTGCTAGGGCTATCCAATCTGGCATGTTCTGAAAAGCGTGCATCACGTACAAACGCCGATCCAGCCACATCTGTTGCCACGAGCATCCTTACGGCCTCTTACGCAGTTCAGCTTTCAGCTGAACACGAGACATGCCACGCAAATCGAAAACTGCACAGGTTGCGCCTCCTGCATGCAAGTGCTGCCGAGCTCCTCTTTGTGAGTGGCTATTGCCCCCTACGCAAATCGTCTATTTTGTTGCTAGATGCAAAAACATATATTTTCCCCAAACAGTTCAAGGTAAGCAGCCAAGATTTGACACCTCCCAGCCCCCTTCGGAGATCTTGTTCGCGGCCAGGGCTTGCAACGCAGGCGGACACGTCTTTTTTGCCTGGCCTAGTTGATGTACCAAACGCTATCAACTTAGACATCATCTCCTGCTTCACGTAGGGCATTCAGCAACATACTCCGCGTAATCTGCGGCTTTCTACGAATCAAACAAATATCATTAATCATCAAACCACCTTTCATTAAAACCGCCTCTTGCAATCGTATCATATTTAGAAAAGGGATGATCCCTTTTGTGAATCCGATGTGATTGGCAGGTCCCGCCGGGTGGTGCTCCTCATGCCAAACCCAATGGCATCTGTCCAAATTACTATGATTCTCACATTGGAAATAAGGGAAGCCCAAGGGCGAGACCCTTCATCATGGGCGGGATCGTTCTACTTGAGCTCGGTAAATTCTTTGTTTTGGACTCCTCCGAGTTAAACTTGTTGATGGCGAGGACACATCATTTGTGCAGAATTGCAAAATGGCTACTCTCCTGCAGATTAACATAGACCCCCAACATCCACTCGTAAGGGATCTCCTCTCGGGGGGACCACGTTCTGGTTCCGTTTATTTGCATGGGAGCAAGCAATCAACCAAGCAACCAACCAACAAAGAACCAAGACCAAAGACAAAGACCAAAGACCAAAAGCCAACCGAGGATTAAACAGCTATTCCGGTCGTACCAACGAGCAACGACTCCCGCCCAACTTGCTTCCTTCAGGCCCGGGCGATCGGCGCCCTCGCACCAGAGGGATCGGCCTCGCGACTGGGATGGCGCACCATGATCGCCGAATGACTGGCTATGGTGAGAAGCGGTACTCAATTGACTCACTTGACTCACATGCATTCACTTTCAACTTAAGACTGTTCTGACCCAAACTCAGGTCAGACCAAAAGTGAGCGTGTGCTCGGATCCATCATTTGGGTAGGGAGCCGTGCCGGGCGCAGGTGCACAAACCCGAGAGAGTTCTATGGAAAGGAGACTGATGGGTCAAAACAAGGCAGCCAACTCGTGGCTCTTTGCCCCTCATATTTCATGGCCACATGACCGCAATGCCAGGATTCGGCACGATCCCCGACACTGGCCATGATTACATCCATGCTTGAGGCAAGGAAAGATGAGGCATGGATCAGATTCACATCCAATCGATTTCGCAGATTTTGTAGTGACTTAAACATTGCTGTGATTACCAAAAAGCCAGTGGAGGGTTAGCAAGCCTAGATTTCATGGGTAGGCTATGACTGAATGCCAAATCCAAGTGGGTTGTTTGCTATCCACGAGAATTTGTTCGAGCGACTGGCATTGATATTGTGCAAAGACTCGCGTCAGATCCAGTTGCGCACTCTCTTTTCATATGCAGAAAATCACAGGCCCCTCTTAGCCGAGGACCGCTTCTTGGAACTTTCTTTGAGGGTGCTGGGCATGCACTCCTGTTACCTCGCGTTCAAATTGCCTTCGTCGTCGCGCTCAGGTCCCTATTTCGTCCATTCAAGAGGAATTGTCACATAACCAACCGTCTGGAGGGCTCCAAGTGGATTTGAATAGTATTGACACGTACAGTCGCAAACACTCCCTCCTCCCTTGTAACAGGGGCATCCGGGCTTCGTAGCTCACCACGGATCTTGGCTGAAGTCCTCAGTGAAGAGAAAAAATGAAACTCACACTTCTTCAAACCACCTAAGGTGTTTTCAAAAAAATGCAATTCATCCAGCATGCTTGAAAGGATCCTCCGAAATACATTTGGCCGGGATGGTTGACTTGGTAATTTTCAAGAATCCTCAGGGGTGGACTGCCGAAGGCTCTGCATCTGCCGGAAGGACAGGCAATTGGCCTGCCCACTCGGACAGGAAGTTTCTCAAACAAAGGGGACCGCTTGAAATGGGTGGTTTAAAGGCTTAGGGTTGCCCCATTTTGAGAAAACACCCACTTTGCCAGACTCGGCGCTGGCAGCCCTCAGGAAGACTTGACTTGGCCACGCGGCTGGGCTCAGAACAGCTTGGGAGGGACGGTTGAAGCAGTGGTTGCATGTTTGGAGCCATGCAGATGCTTGGATTCGCGCTGCGCGAGCACATTGGGGGGAAGGGCCTTTACAGGTGTACGGCCACGGAGAAATCGGGGTGGGCCCCCTGGTCTTTGATGCGGAGGCCCCTAAAGTGCAGCCGTTCAAATGGATGATTGCCTCCTGGAGCAAACTTCCTTTTGGCTCAAGGTTTGTTCCTTGGTTCATAACCGTTTGGCGCCAAGTGATGCACTCTGGTGGGTCTCTCAGATGCTTAGAACAAAATTACACCAGCATAGACCCCAGATGACCCCAAATAGCGAAACACGCGCCATCGATTGCACGCCAGCACCTCTGACAACACTGCCCGAAGAGCACCTCAACCACCCCCCCAAACAGCATCAAAAAACAGCACCTGCACAGGAATCAATCCCCAAATTGCATGCCCCCTAGTACCCTACCGTCAATCTTGCAAAGCGCGCCCGCACCGCTTGCATGCCCCTGGCACCCTGCCATAAATTTTTAAAAATGCGTCCGAGCCATCACCAGCAGCTCAAACAGCACCCCCAACAGCACCTCCCCATAGCACCCAGCCGTCAATCTCGCAAATCACTTGCCCTTCTTTACTAGAAGTTAGACCCCTATAGCTTTCAGCTATCTGGGGAATAACTCTTTGCGCACCCATTCCCAAGAAGAAGTCAATACGCACGCGACCATGAACACATCCAGTCACCCTCTTGGAAAGCACACGCTGCATGCCAGCGAGCCGGCAAGAACCACAGGCTTCACATGCGTGCGTCTCAACAACGTGATCCAACTAAATGGTTAGTTTCCTCTCGGTTTCCCTTTCAAAGACCTTCCAACAATTGATCTACCAATTGAGAAATACTCACATTGGTTTCTTCGGGATGCCGCCTATGTCCCCCGCCAAACACCCGACACAACTCAGCCAGTAGGCCTGGACCTTACCTGTGCACCCTCGGGAACCAACGTGGATGTCAGAGTGGATATTCTTTATGAGACGAGCCTTCAGCTTAAGCCTAACCGTGTTGTTTCGTCGTGTATGCATATTAAGAGATACTACTAGAGTCAACCCTCATTGGAGGCTTGACTTGAACCCAAGCAGCATGTGCGATCTTATCATGGCATACATGAGCAGCACCGAACCATTCAATTGTTGGTTTTACCAACATGGTCATAAAGGCTAATATCTTGGGACTTTCTATAACACCTCACAAACCAGGTAGCAGAACCGGGCTTTTGGGTCATCGCATGAGCCTATATTCATTGCATCCCCAACTGACAGGGACGACTTTTGCTACAGTAGATGACAGGAAAATGTGCTGCTTGCTGACATATGACCAAGAAAGACACGGGAAATTGGGTGACCCCTGGTTTTTGTGGGCACATTGGGTGGTGCCCAAGTCCGGGCCAAACAAACAGTAGACTACAAACAGTATGGTCAAAATCACATGTGACCCTTCCTATATTTCCCCAAACAGCCCGACCGAAGGACACTCACCCAATATCTCAACTGCTGAGGTTTAAACCGCCAACATTCAACACCCCTTCCCCCCCTCAACATTTTTGCGAGCGAAGTTGTGGCCGCCAGACTGAACTACTTTGGTCCGACTGCTTTGGTCTGGCAATGGCCAACGGTCCAGGCTCCTGGCCAACCGAATTCACTAAACTCCACCAGAAATCGGTTGCTCGACTTACTTACTTGTTCTTGGAGAAGAAATGATTGAACCTCCCAGGCATTCCCTGCAAGAACCCAGAGGTTGTTTAAGGATTGTTCGATTCCCTTTGAGGTGGTTACTACGAAATTCTACGAGTTCCCAAACTCAACGAGCCAGGAGAAGCGTCTGAGAGGCGCTTATCTGCTTTGGCCCTTGCTTGCAACCAGTGGCGCACGAGAAATGGACAAAGGCAATAACATGAGCCACGATCAGACTGTGCCTTTGGTTCCCGTCAAGGACTGGGAAAACTAGTAAGCTACTAGTAAGTCCTCTGACTTTTGTGGGAAACTTTGTGAGTCCCCTCAGTCCCTCACAAATGCATCATAGACTAGTGATATGTTTTAAACAGCAGCAAAGAAGAAGGATGGGGAAAACTGCAGCGACACGAGCCACAGTGACGGAGGGGGGACTGGCAGGAAGTAGTGCTAGAAAAAAGACACAGCTAAACAGAAAGAAGCCAAGAGCAAAGGAGAAGGAAGAAAACGCAAAAGAAAGAACAGCGGGGTGGCGACAAACACGGCTGATTGTATTCGTTGCGGTACTCTTGTTCTGTTTCTGTGGGTTCCTTGTTCCAAGGTCCAGCTAGCCACAGGGACAAAGAGATCCTGAGAGGACCCCTTGGGTCGCCGTGCCAGCGCCCAGCTCGTGAAACCGCGCGCTCACGGCAGCCGGGCGGTCCGGGAGTGACTGCGTGGCAGTGACTTGAAAGAAACCAGGCACAAGAGCTTGAACAGCAGATTTCAGAGTCTGGCAAGACCAGGAAGGCAAATACCATTTCTGGGCAGAATACCGCAATTCACAGGGTTTGGTGGGTACCAGCAAAGCAGGGGGCTTTCACAAATTCATGTGTCTGCTGTCTTTGATAGGGTCCAAGCAGGGGGACCCTCCTCTGTTCAAACCTACTTAGCTGCATCAAACGCAGGTTTTAAGAGCTCCCCTTTGCAACACATGGTTGGCGCTTTGCAGGTCACGGAACAAGGGCTACAAGCAGTTTAGAAACACTTTTCACTGCGTCTTTTCTGGCATCTGGAGGACAAACAACAGCTACAGAAGTGCGGAGGCCAAACAGTTAAAAAAATAGTCCGCATCCAAGACGTAAAGGGTTGCACCAAACAGAGTGACTTGCAACCGGGAGTGTTGGTCTGCAAGTTCACCTAAGGCGTTGATGCGGGACAACTTGATCTTTCTGGACAAAACGCATAGGGAGTTTCTGAACAGGCCGTGCAGATAAAACAACACCCTAAATCCATGGTCCAAGCAATTTGAGCGGCACCACCCGTAAGAAATGTTCTGGTCCGTTCAACAGAAACTTCATTGCTTAGGACAAAGGGTGGATTTGCAAATCAACTCAGCCATACTCAGCTTGTAGCGCCTGTCTAAGCTCCTTGGGGTGATCATACTCAGTACTCTCCGATCACAACCACGGAACCTGAAAGAAGCCATGCCAAACGTGGCGATTGGACGGGAAGCAACAAGAAAGCAACCAATCAGGTTCCATGCTTTTGCGAGCAGACACCATGAGACCCATAAATCAACAGTAAAGAGCCCTAAATTGGTTTCCAGTGTCCACTAGACCAAACCACTTAAGGGAAAAAGGGGTAGCGCTTTGGGGGGTGGAAACCACCTTAGCTTGAAGGCTCAACCCCAACGCCCGGCGAGCGCCTGAAGCGGTAGGCTTCCGCATCCAGGTCGCTGAGATTCTCGTATCGGCTCCAAGCCTTGCTTGGTAGGGCTGGAGTGCTTGGAGTGCTTCAGAGGCTGGAAACAACATTCGCCTCGAAACACCAATGCGGAAAGTGCTCTTGAGGGAAATGGCGAGGTTGGCAAGGCCCGACAATGAGTTTTTTGCACCAGCAAAGTGTAGCAGCTGACCCAGTTGCCTAATGGGTAAGGTGTTGCTATTTCTGCTTGCAGAAAGTGGCCTGAGTCGATTTGATTCTTCAGTGTCTGCTTATCACCAAGCGAAAACACATCCTTGTGTGGTTGGTTTTTCAGTTGGGTGTCCTACCAGAAGGCGATTCATGAGGGTGCACAACAGATCGCCGCATTCCATGCTGAGCTCCCGGCCGCGACTTTGCCGATCACCGCCTGACTGTTGGCTATTGGCAGACTTCAGGAGATACGTCAACATATGAGTCGATATCTCCAAGCACCTTGGGTTTGGCTCCTGCTCTTCCCAATCCATTGTTTCTCTTCACCCTTCCTGGAATTGAAGTGCAAATGGGCAGAGCTCTTATGCGCACCTTGTCATCCGGAAGTATCAGCTGGTCCACAATCGTCACGACCTGAGGGCAGAACATGAGACAAGGACGAACAGCAACAACCACTTCACCTAGAATCAAATGGTTGTTTGTGCAATTCCACAATGAAAAGGGGGCCAAAAAGGACAGCAGACCTTGCCAGACCCTATAAGAAGCTTTAACCTCAAAAGGAATCGGCGGGCCTGATAGTATTTTTTGGGCCCTTTCATAAGATAGAACACACTTGACATATGCTTGGTAAGTTTAGAAACACACAGGGTAGGAACTTGTACAGCTACGCCAACCTCCACTTATCTTGATCCAAATCTGGGCAATTCACCATCAGTCACAAGCCAAAAGTAAAGACAACCTCCCTGAAGGACACCCATGAGGGGTGAGTTTTTTTTAACCCCAAGTGAGCTCGTTGTAATTCGTCCAAATCCATGTCGAACTTACAAACTACACTTACTCGATGTCAGAATTCAGCCACATCTGCCTACACGTCTCAACCCCAAAGCCATACAAACACAACCAACCAACGAATTAACCAACCAACCACTCAACCACTCAACCACTCAACCACTCAACCACTCAACCACTCAACCAATCAACCAATCAACCAATCAACCCTACAACATCTTTCTAAGGTGAAACAAAACATGCACCACTCTCCCAAGCATAGGGGCCTGGTGAGCCAGCATTCCTAAGACAAGGTACAGAAATCCTCCTGCGGAGCACGTTTTTGGGGGTGTGACAAACCACGGTGCCCCGGGACAGTCTATATATACCTCAACCTGCCGAACAGGCACTCATCCACTTACCAGCACACAAGGCATGTGAGCGGTTTTCCCAAACATTGAGAAAAGCTAACAAACACCTGCCAACCACTATAGCATACAGCGAAATTCCAGTTGCCATCTGATAGAATGAAACCTCTCTCTATCTACTGTGCCTTCGCAAGTTCAGGCATTTCAGGGTGTCTTTTTGAGGCTCAGTGCCCTGTTTGGTGTACGTAGTGTTAAAGGGAAGCCAAAAGCAAACCACGTTTTGTTGGGTCCAAATCCATATCAAAAGGGGCTCCCCCAGAAATGAGATGTCTCAGACTATCCTCGTTGGTGCGCTCCACATAATCAACCGATCTGCTCTTCACTGGCCTCAAGCCAAACATGCGATATGATCTCAGCCGCTAGCGCTAACTTAGGGGCAAACACATTGGCAGCATGTGGGTGTGGTTCCTTTTGCGAGGCTACTCATTCTGGGGTTGGTTTGAAGGGAAATCAACAGAAAACATATTGGCTGACCCCGCCCCCAGTCAGGTCGGAGGTTAGAGGGCTGCCCACAAAAACGAGAGACACCACCCCAGCTGGGTGTGGCTCCGATTTTTGAGGCTCGGTACAAGGAGGGAAACCTAACGATGTGGGAATTTCTCAATATGGTTTTTGCAAAATCCCCCTATTTTGGTTGGTAATTAAAGGTAAAAAGGAGATCTTTGCAATTTGAGGGCGCCAGCCTATTTTGAGAACCACCAAGAGTGGACGAGGCAACCCGGGCTGCCCTGAGACGTCCAAGAGGCATAGTAGAAGATGGCCAGCACGAAAATGGAGAGTGGAATGCACAACCTGCGCAAAGGCATCCCAGCCTCAACTGAGACTGGGAGTCGAAACGACTCCAACCGACAAGCGTCAGTGCCTTCAGAGGTGAACATGAAGCCGCTCACAAGGCGATGGCCGATGGACCGCATGCAGACTAGGAGCAGAATGGCCACGTTCCGCTGGAAGTAAATCCATGTCTCCTTGCAGACCAATTTGCTCTCAGTTGAACATATCCAATGTCATTATGGCTCTTAAGCCACATTAGCACTTGAGCAGTGAAACACTGGAGCAGACCCCTTTCGGATGGTTGGCAAAGGACACCAACACAAGCGCATCTACCAATTGAATTCTCAAACTTAGGGACCCTACAAATTGCATTCTTGGCAAACGGGAAGGGTCAAGTCTGCGATTTGATCGTGCCCCATTGAGAGGGGATCCAGATCACCTTTGAGAGACCCGAGCACATTGGAATTGCTGATCAGTCAGCAAGGGTGGGGCTCATAATTTGGACCCCTAAAAATGGTGGCTCTGCTGGTGGCTTCCATTTAAAGCAATCTGAAGAAGGAACCCCACATAAAGCTTAAAATACTAGGAAAGGCCCCCCCCCACTCCCCAAGCTTAAGGGTCCCTGCAAGTGCACATGCATTGGTCCAAGTCGCAAACACGTGAGCCACCAGGTAGCCCAGAATTCCCAGCAGGAACCTCACAATGTCAAAAGGCGGAGACAAGACAGGGGACCGGTTTTCCGTTTAAAATGTGTTTCGGGCAAATTACGCTGCTACTACACAGCAACCGGCACATGCTTCAAAGCCAAACTCTGTAGCAAACAACCGACCTTCGCTTTGGAGTGATATACCAAAGAAAGTCGACTTTCAGGGTCCACCAAGCAACAACTTACTTGCTGAGGTCACAGCAAGTAGAACATAGCGGATCCACATTGCACCCCATGATCTTCCTGCACTTCCAACCACATTATTTTCTACGCCACTGCCTCAGTCTCTGACATTGAGATAGTTTGGCCCGCTCTCCTCAGCCTTTGGAACAACTTCGCAGCTTTGGTCATCTGGCTGATACTTGCAAACTTCCAAATGGCCCATTTTACTCATTTAGGCTGGCGCAGAAACGGCTATCCTCTCATTTGCTGCCTGAATGCCAGCTTGGGTAATATAAATCACAATCAACACCTGATACTGAAGGAATCTACCCCATGCAAAGAATCAACAGGGCTCATATCCAAACCTATTTCTGGCTGGGAGTGTCCCTTACCCTTCGTCTAGCCAAGCCGCTGCAAGAAGGTGAACTGCTGCGCCTGCGTTGTGCGAAAAATGGCCCGGATGGGATTCTGGGACCGTCTTGCTCCCCTGCAAAAGAAGGAACCCCCAAAATGCGGCCGACCAAGGCAAATCCAACAAATCATGGGTTTAAGGGTTGCATGTCCATCTGCAGAGGAAGAGAATTGTGAAATTCCCTGTGGACGGACACCAAAACAACTTCGCGCCAGTGGCTAGTCCAAGGTCCACTGGCTCAGGATTTGTTCATCCAACAAAGTCGGCTGCCCAAAGGCCAAACAAGGAAGCTATACACTGGCCATTTTTTGCACCATTCTCAAAGTCGCCCCCCAAGTGGTAGGCTTGGGACCGACGCGGGATCTAAGTGAAGGTTGTCTCAGTCCCAAACCCACGGGCACGCCACTGAACGAGTCGAAAACAAGTCACAGATCAACATTACCAAAATCATGGTTCAACTGCTTCGGAGTAATTACATGATTCATGAGCGCAAATGCGTCAGGTCCTGGAACTGTCTTGCGTCCCCCTTATATTTTTCCCAGGCCCCTGGTTTGGTTTGAGGGTTTGGTGGATTTTGGATCGGTTTAGGATTGGCTGGGGGTTGTTTTTAGGACTCATTTTGGAGTTGACGGTTGGTTTAGAGTGTGGTAGGATAGATTTGGTGTTGGTTTTAGGTCGGGTTGATTTAGAGCTTAGGCTTAGGGTGGGGCTAGAATGGGGGCAGGGGAGGCTCAAAAGACAAAAGCCAAACGCCACAAACAGCCACGGCCAAAAAGCGAAAAGCCCAAACAACCCAAACAAACAACAAGCTACAACGCTAAGTCAAGTGACCCAAACATGAGAGCAACTCAAAAGACGTCGATCCCCAGCAGCTCAGTCCCAAGGAGGTTCGGGGGCACATCACATCTCAGGTGATACCGTACAAACCCTACGTACGTTCCAAGTTCAAGTCCAAAATCGAGCACCAAAGGCGCACTCTGTGGTGCAACGAATTTGGGCTCGGAGGCTTTGAGGTGATAACTGCGCTTGCAACTTGCAATACAAGCTGGTCGGTCAATCAAAAGAACAATCCTACAAACTCCATTCCTCATTGCCCCGAGCTAGCCGATTCCGGCCCCTCGGATTCATAAATGAGTGGCGTTTTGTATTCCCTGTAAATTTGCACTGACGTATCAAACCCTTCCGCCAAACCTTCCGCGCTGTGAAGGGTACCTTCCGCGAGCATGTTTCTAAATAAGTGCTTCCGCCCTTCCGCAGGCAAGTTTCTGGTGGAAACTGAGGAAGGTAGCTTCCGCGAGGGAAGTCGTGTGCACAGTTTGCTAGTAAACGTGCTTGGCAACAACCACCCAAATGAAACACAATTCAACAGCGTCCCTTCCACGAGCTTCCGCCGGGAAAACACCCTCCGCAAATTTTCCGCGAACCTTCCGCGGCTACCTTTTTGGTTGATATGTCAACATCTATACATGTTTGCTTGAGAGGCAAACAACGCCACTCAAATGGGGCTCTCCCAGGCATGCGCCATTGTCAACCTCCGAAACTTGGCATTTGTTTTGTCATCCGAGGCTTCCCGAAAACACCAACATCAACTTTCATCGTGGGGCGGTTCAGCCAAAAAATCAGCCCCTCCCACACGTCACCTTCTGTGCGCCTTGTGCAGGTTCTCCACTGCCAGGTGCACGGCGCGGGCACCGCAGCCCATGAGCGCCAAGCGCCTGCCTGGGCCACCGTGCGCCGAGAAGCCGTGCGGACTGGCAGCCATGTTTTTGCAGACCGACTCCCTGATTCTGGCTTAAGGTTGGCAACCAAGCCTGTTCACTTGGTCGAGGTCGTGGCCCCAACCCCAACTTGCTGGTTGTCAGCAGGGCATCGATAACGTTTTTGGAATGAGGTTTTTGTTTGGAGAGCCGAAGGACACCACCAATTGGATGGTTTTAGTTCGGGGTCATTCCCTCATTCTCTGCGGAGGGCAAGCAAGCTTAGAACAACAGAACAATACACATCAACTTGATGTCCTCTTAGCTTGAACAAACATGCGAGCCGCGTGGGAATCAGTACCATCCAACACAAATGGGGCATATGGGTGTGTGTCCGTGTCCGAACGGAGGAGAATGGGCTGTAGTTTTCCTTTGACACATACCCCGAGAAGGGTATCCTTAAAACAGACACACACACACAAACACAAAGACAAACAACTACACACACACAGACACGCACAAACACGCACAGACACGCACAGAGACGCATAGAGACGCACAAAGACACACAGAGACGCACAGAGACGCACAGAGACGCACAAACAAGCACACACGCACACACGCACACAGCCACACACACACAGACACGCATAGACACACACACACACAGTCACACACAAACATGCACTGGGGAACGTGCAAATGCACATAGACGCACACACACACACACACCCACCCACCCACACACACGCACACACACCCACCCACACGCACACACCCATACGCACATACATAACCCCCCAACCACACACACACACACACACACACTTGTGCAGAAGGCCATAGGACCATCGGACACAGCAACTTCGCACAAGCTAACAGAAGTAAACATCGGCCGCTTTACTCGAGTGGACTTTTGGGCCTCATTGAAAATTCAATCGGTTGGTCAACTCTTCCTGCCAAAACCCAATCCAAAGTAAGAAAACAATTAGCTTAGTGCCTCGTCAGTCATGAGACTGTGTGGAGATCATGCAACTGCATGTGGGACACTGCCATCGCCACGGTCAGTTTGGGGTACATGGTGCTGAGACCCAGTACACAAACAAGAGTGACGGAACGCGGTGGCCCAAGCAAGCTTTGTCCGTGTCCTTCTCAAGGGCGGCATTTGGTTGAACTTGTGCACACAGGTAGCATCTTGCTTGACGTTCGCGGAATCGAAGGCGCGTGAAGTGCAACATCATAGCCACTTGTGACAACTATATTGTACGTGTACAGGTTACAAGCCGTGCTGTCGCTTTTGCAATGCAACGTGCACTCGAACTGAACAAATACAATTTGCCTGGATGTGTGGTGGTTGCATTGTCTTTTGGCTTTCTTGCTGTGTCCGCGGTGAAAGCGCAGATCTACCCTTTGCTTCGATCGAGACGCCCAGCACCTACGTTGGCCATTTCCGCCGGTGGTGTTACTATACCTGGTTTTATTGCGGTTATACACGCTGAGGGCTTTCTATCAACATCTACAACAACGTTGGTGGCGAACTGCGCTTGGTGGCCAGCCCAGACTCTGGCAAGTCTGTGTCAAAACTCCCTCTGCTTTTTGCGAACAACATAATCCGTCCGATGTTTTACAACAAATCTAATCCGCGCACAGGAGGACTGGCCAATGGATACACAAATTTACGGCAACTACCTGCGGCCCCTCCAGCCCAGCGCAAAAAAACGACCGAGCCACCGAAGATGACGCACATCGTACAGGACATGCAGACCTCAGCTTGGCTCATAGCTACGGACACATAAACAAACACAGAGCCACAGCTAGACAATAAAGATACATGTGCTAACACATACACACACAAATGCAAATAGGTGCACAACACAGACACACAAGACACACAAACAGGTTCAAACAAACAAATCCAACCACAAGCACACATACACACACACACCACACACACAAACATACGACACAGACACAGACACACAAACAAACAAACAGAGAGACAGACAGACAGACAGACAGACAGACAGACAGACAGACAGACAGACAGACACACAAACAAACAAACAAACAAACAAACAACAAGCAAGCAAGCAAGCAAGCAAGCCAAGCAAGCCAAGCAAGCCAGCAAGCAAATAAGCAAACCAAACAAAACAACACCAACACACAACCAGACGTGTACACAACCACACACATAAACAAACATTTATATGCAAACACAAGGCAAAACACTGACATGCAAACACGAACATCAACATACGAACACACATGCAGCCAAGCAAGCTAGCAAGCATGCACACAAACAAACACTCTCATGTCCGGCAAACGTACCGTTGCATTTGTTGGTGGGCAATGACAGTGAGTCATCAAGATCAGCGACCAGCACTGAGTCTGACAATCTCTGAGTGTCATCAAACCGACTGGATAGGGCCACCCTCTAGTTGAAGCATGGTTAAACTGCTATTGCTTCAACAATATTGTTGTGATTCCATTTGTGGACCAGGGGTTGGCTGTTTACACACATTTTGCCCACCCCTGCAGGGCATGCTCAGATTCAACAACGAAGCTGTTGCGATCCAAGGCGGCCCGGCGCAAAGATTGAAGCCCAATGCACACGCCGTGAGAGTAATGTAGGCCATCTGAGGGCAAAGAGCGCCGTGGCTTGTTGGATCTTTTCCAATAAGTTGTGAACATGCAGACACTTTTCCGAAACGGAAGCAAATTGAAGCGTTGAACAGCCCGATGCTTCCAGCTACAAGGGGCGACATCACCAACTGTCATACAACAAGGTAGAAGTGCCTGCCGTCTGCTCTAGATGTACTGGGCCAGGGGTTTCCCATACCCCCCACCTCTAGCAGGAAGGGCGTGTCCTGCGGCACGGGCTCGGTGATCTGCTCGAAGGCGAAGCCCGCGAACATGGCGGCCTGCATGGCCATGGTGTCGTAGTTCCTGCAAGACGCCCGGGCTCCAAAGTACGGAGCGGCCGCAAGACCCAAAAGCGGGTTCCAAAGTACGCGGTAGAGAGAGCGAGACAGAGAGAACGACTCTCCGGGTACCATTGTGAGACAAGAGGGATCTGCACTTGTGGGAAATCTGGTGACGTTTCCACCAACCTGACAAGGAAAACGGGCGCGACAGAGCAACGCCGCTATGCTCAGTTGCCCAAAGGACCTGGAAATAAAGGCCAACCTTTTGGGACCTTTACTAACAAAGGGGCTAACATGCGAAAACAAGAAAAGGTCAAAAGGTCGGAATCGAGTATGGGCCAAGAAGGGGAACCCGGTAGAGCCAAATCAAGGGCCGTAAAAGGCCGCGGTGCACAAATCTTCGGAAGGGTGCCCTTCCAAGAAAAAACATGCACGCTTCGAAGCACAAGCTGCAAGGCTTGGCCCTTTTCCTTTTCCTTTGTTGAAGGGCCATGGGTTGTCACCAGGCATCCGCATTTTTTTCGCCTTCCAAAGGACTGTAGGTCTCGGTTGGACAACCCAAGGGTGTTGGGTCTCCTTTTAGCCTCTTTGGACAATGGGCATAAGAGGGGTCCCCACCTTTTGTGGGCGTTCTGTTAAGGACCCCAGACATAAATCGAGGCCTCCAAGTAGAGACAAACTCATGTTCATGTTGGTTGATGTGAAACTCAGCCGAAACGATTGGCCGACACTGATGTGAGTTTCGGCCGACACATTGGTGAAATTTGGCCGACGTTCAGCCACCAGCCCACATTGCTGCGGCCGTCGTTTGCCAGCGGAGCATTGATCATTCCGGCCGAGCCAACCATCGCAATCAAACCTGAGTCCTCGCCGTCCCGACAGTCCCGAGCATGCCAACCATCCTGACCACCCTCCCGACCATCCCGAACCAACCCTGAAGCTACGCTAAACCAACCCTAAACCATCCCCAAAGCCATCCGAAACCAACCCAAACCCAAACCCAAACCCAAACCAACCCGGATCACAACTGAACAGACCCTAAACCGACCCCAATCCACCCTAAACAAACCGTGAACCAAACCTAAACAATCCTAAACCCACCCTAAACCACCAAAACTAATTCTAGCAAACCCTGAACCCACCTCAAACGCACCCTAAACTTACTCTAAGCCAACTCTAACCAACCAGAAACTAGACACTCTGAAGCGCCCGAAACCAACCCTAAACCAAGCAACCAACTTTAAACCAACCCTAAAACCAACCCTAAATTCACCCTACACCAACCCTGAACCCCCTAAAGCAACCTCGAAGTCACGCCAAAGCCACCCTAAACCCATAGACAGTCCCGACCTTCCCAGCCATCCCTCCCAACCGTCCCAACCACCCCAACCGTCCCGACCACCCCAACCGTCCCGACCACTCCGATCGTGTTGACATCCCGGCCATCGCGAAGCATCCCATAATGCTGACCATCCCGACCGTCTCAACCATCCATATACCATCCCGACCATCTTGCTTGTTTTGGGAATTAAACGCTGCGTTCCCAATTTCTGAATTTGACGAAACCGTTTTCCGAAGTTTTGAGTGTGAATTAAGCGTTTGCTTGCGGAAAGTTATCGTTTTTTTTCCCATTTTGGACCCCATGTTGTCCCTGTTTTGGACCAGGAGAATGCGGCGTTTGGTTTGCAAAGGGACACCGCCGCGCCTGGTGTACCATTCCAGCTCCAGCTGGCGTATCTCGATGGACTCTTTGGAAACCTGGCGAGACCCGCGGCCAAACTTGGCTTAAAGAACCAGACCCTGCCGTTTCAAGGGCGAATCCCAAATTAGGGAGTTTCAGCTTTATTGGTTTGACAATGGCTACACAGGTTGTTGATACTTTTTAGCTCTTGAAAAGTTTTAAGACAAAATCCTACAAAGGATAAACTAAAGGTGGTTTCCTTTAAGGGAATAACCGACGTTGGAGACACTTGCGGATTGAACCTCGGGCTTGAACTGAGGATGAAGGGCATGAACCTGGGATTTGCCGTATGAGCAAGGACATTTAGGGGGCGGAGAAACCCCTCCGTATGGTGCTCAGATGTGCTCAGTGATTCCGCATTGTATGCATCAGGAACTATTGAAAGATATTGAAAGTACGTAGAAGGGAACTGGATGGTCACGTTTGTGTAACCGGCATCCAAAGGGGACACTTTGGGTCTATCTTGCGTGGCCACTGGCCACGGTTTACAGGTGTTGGGTTCTTAGGCATGAAACCCTTCCGCGGTTTTTGAACTGGGGCGGGATTTGCCTTTCCACTTCTCGCTGTCTTTCTGCCTTGTTTGCCGGGTACCGTGTGCTGTCCACAGGTACTGTCGGTTTGGTTGTCACGTCGGCTTTCACATGGATATATTTTGAATGATGCGTTCGTTCTGGGACGTCATGCGTGCCATTTACAATAGAGCATTTCACGTTTGCACACAGGCTTCTCTGGGTGGCATATACCGAGCAAGCCTTTGCGGTAACTTGAACCTCTTGTGCCTCTATGGCATTTGCTCAGCACTCGTTTGGTGGGGTGCCCACACCCTCTTTCCACAAACTCCTGCTTCTGAACGTCTAACAGCAAAAGGAAGCCAGCCCTCAGGGCCAACCCAAATTGAAGACCATCTGAGAGCTTCTGCTTGGTCGAAGCAAATCTCCCAGGTCAAGGGGCAAGTCATAGCAGGCCCTTTTTTGTTGTTGATCGTAACCTGCTTTGTAACCCATAAACAATACACAAACAAGCTTTAGGCTGGATGAACAGGGTTCCCCAGATCCAATAAGATATGCGCTCAAAGTGCTGCAGAGTGGCATGTGTGACAGCAGCATTCTTGTAGATCTGCGCGCTGGTGCCAAGATGGGCGTGTCTCAGAATGACCACCCCATTGGTTGGCCTCCCTTTGGTTTCCCTTCAAACGACCCAACCAAAAGGAAATTAACATCAACCTGGGCGCTGAGAAAGTGGAGGATCCCCTTCAAAATGGCACTTCTCCTCTATCAATCACACAGGGGCTTTTCATTCCTGGGTCCACATTGGGCTTTTTAGGTCTGTCCGACAGGTGGGGCCAGTCTGATCTGCCATTTTGAGGCAGACTGGCACATGGCCGCACCACAAAACCCCTCTTCAGCATGGATATGTGGGTGTGTTCAATTTGGAGGCAGACACGCCGAACACCCGCTGGGCTGCCGAGCCCAGAAAAGAAAAAGCAAAAGGTGCAATGGCGTGGGGAGGTTGAAAACAATTAGATCGCTGTTGGGTCCCGAGCCCTTGGTCAATCCCAGAGACCGAGTGCCTCTTCGGTCAAAGGGAACCAGAATGTGCACGTGTCACCATTAAGGGTCCCCTTTTCAGATGGCTTTTAAAAGGGGACCGAAGGCAAACCGCTAAGCGCCTTGTCCCACCTTTTCCATTCAGCCCATCACTCAACTTTCCTCAAAGCCACCGGGCCAGCCCCCTTTGGTTTAATTCAAACACGCGACCGCCCATCCGCCACGAAAGCTCTCTCTGCCCAAGGGCTCTGCACAAGCACTCGTTTCGGCAGGTCTCCAATGCATCCCCGTGGAAATAGAACAACCATGAGGGTACCCTTTTCAGCTTGAATCAAGGGGATCAAAAGAAAAGGCACCATTGTGGAGTCCCCTATTTCGACACATACCCATGAGTGAATCAAGCTCAGTCCCTGGACACTTGCCCCAGCGCCGAGACACAACTATGCAGGGAAGCATGATGACAAAGTGGAGATGTGTCAACATAGGAATCTGAATCCCCAAAATCATGATTGGGTTTCTTTTGGATGCCCTTTGAAGCAAGCAAGGCCAAAAAGGCTACCACAGAAGAAGCACGCAGCCCCAAGTGCATGTGATTTCTCACAGTCCAACGAGCATCCCCGACTTCCGGCTCAAAAGATGACCCTCTTTATTACTCGGGTCTGGCCAAAGACAACTCAAGGTCGATGAGTCACCGCCACAAGAGAAGCAAGATGCAATGCAGTACAATTTTAGCACAGCGAATGGCATGGTTCAAGTAGGACTCGCGCAAACTGTGACGACTCAGCATCAGCATCATCGTGCAAGCCAAGTAAGTGTGCCCGGATTCAATCGCCAAGACAGCGCCACAGGCGGGTCAGGGGTGGTTTGGAAACAGCAAGGTTTGGAAGAAGAGCTTCCATGTTGAGACAGAGTCACTTGCCACCCCCAACCTGCAGGTGAAAATAATCCACAGGCTTGAGACAGAACCCAACGACACCGTCTATACCTTCTCCCCCTCCCCCCGACACCTGAAGCATGCAGAGGTAGGTGCCTAGCAGACGAGCCGAACAATCGCTGGTTTGGAACAACCAATTGGGGGGTCCAGACCTTTCTCAAAACTGGCCAAATTTGACCAGGATTGGGGCTTTGATGTGGCATCCGGAGACTGCCGTTCTCTTCGACAAACGAGCACCCAAACACTTGGCATCTTCGCCTCAAGACTCACGCCACCTCACAGTAGCCAGAAGCCACATGGTGTTTTAGTTGCGCCACGTCAGCCCCAACAAACCAGGGATTATAGTGGAGCTTCCAAACAAAGGTATGAAAGGTGGACAAAAATGACAAAAATACGTGTCGCTGCAGCACGCAAGCAAGCTTCTGCAAGGCTAGGCTGGTGGCACCCCAACCCTTGAACACTGCCCCCATCCACAGCTGTAACAATTTGGCAGGCCAGTCTAGCGGTTGCTCCACGGGGAAAAAACAACTAGAGGACGAGTGGCCCGGAAGCATGGAGGCAAGTTAGTTGTTAGCGATCAAGTAGTCTAGTCGCGACAAGCTGCACACAGACAGATTCCGCTTTTTGTCAGTAGCTCGAATATGGTACTAAAAGTTGAGGAATTTCATGCGCTTCTCAGCGCAGGTTCTCCCTGCTCATCGCGATCTTGCCCACCATCATGTCGCGCGTGTAGATCGAGTGGCTCGGCATGTGGATCTCGATGATGCATACCATGCTTCGGGCGGCTCCAACATGAACAAACAGGCAGCAAGCAAACTACCGCGATGTTGATTAGCGCTAGCTTGAACCAACCACCAGGCGCGTGGTGCGGAAGGCGAGGCGGGGGAGAACCAACACCTGAGGCACCGTGGAGAAACCACCACCACCTGGGCGAAGCGAAACTGGAGCGAAGCTCCTGGACATGCAGGCAACTTACATAGCGAGGTCTCAATGCAAATGCAGAAGTGTGGCACGGAGGTTGTTCAATCTGCTGATGTTGTCCGGCTTCACTCGGCTTCCCTTGGCTTCCCTCGGCTTCACTCAAGTGCAACAGCGCTCAATGAGCACACATGCTCAAGCATGTCTGCAATCTGGTGTTGTCCGGCTTCACTCGGCTTCCCTTGGCTTCACTCGAGTGCAACAGCGTGCAGGCAGCACAAATGCTCACGCGTGTCATGTAGGTTGTTCAATCTGCTGATGTTGTCCGGCTTCACTCGGCTTCCCTCGGCTTCACTCAAGTGCAACAGCGTGCAATGAGCACAAAAGCTCAAGCATGTCATGTAGGTTGTTCAATCTGCTGACGTTGTCCGGCTTCACTCGGCTTCCCTTGGCTTCCCTTGGCTTCACTCAAGTGCAACAGCGTGCAGGCAACACAACTGCTCAAGCTGCTGATGCGAGTTGTTCAGTCTGCTGATGTTGTCCGGCTTCACTCGGCTTCCCTCGAAGAGCAAAACGTGGAGTCAGCGCAAGCGCTCAAGCATGTCACGCAGGTTGCTCAATCTGCTGATGTTGTCTGGCAGCAGCGAGGAAGATCGCAAAGCGCATGTTGAAAGATATGGCGGCTACATGCTGCGCGCGAAGCTGTGCGTGGCGCGGTGCGTGACGCTGCGCGCGGTGCTGCGCATGATGTGGCACATGATGCTGCGCGCGAAGCTGGTTCAATCTGCTGATGTTGTCCGGCTTCACTCGGCTTCCCTCGAAGAGCAAAACATGGAGACAGCGCAAGCGCTCAATCTGCTGATGTCGTCTGGCAGCAGCGAGGCAGATCGCGAAACGCGTGTTGCAAGATGTGGCGGCTGCGTGCTGCGCGCGAAGCTGTGCGTGGCGCGGTGCGTGACGCTGCGCGCGATGCTGCGCATGATGCGCCACGTGCTGCTGCGCGTGAGACTGCGCGTGGTGTTCGCCAGTGCTGGCGGTGTCGTTCGTGTGCGTTTGTGGCGCTGGCTGCTGGCTCTGCCGGAGTTGTGCGCCCGCATACAAGCAAAAGCCCAGACCGCATTGTTCTTGCTCGTCGCATGCGCCCGCTCGTTGCGCTCAGCAACAAGCCGGGCATCACTACCTGAGCTACTCATGAGCGTCCTTGAAGTCGCCGGAATCCGACCACCAAGATGCTCGTCCTCCCACGTCTATGTCGCGCCAGACTGGGATCGCTCGCGCGTCGGAAACATCCGCCAGCGCGAGCCAACCCAGATGACACGACTATAGCTGTCTGCAGTGCTGAGCCATCTTGATGACGAACGGTGTGGCAGCCCAGGCTGCGTGTCACGCACGAAGCTTTTGCCGGACTCGCCGCTCAAAAGCGCCAGAGGGGAAGAGATCGGACACGAACTCGCCCGGAGGACTCACAAAGAATCACGCGTGCCGCCGCGGAGACTGGAAGTGCCAAGGTCGTCCTTGAAGTCGCCGGAATCCGACCACCAAGATGCTCGTCCTCCCACGTCTATGTCGCGCCAGACTGGGATCGCTCGCGCGTCGGAAACATCCGCCAGCGCGAGCCAACCCAGATGACACGACTATAGCTGTCTGCAGTGCTGAGCCATCTTGATGACGAACGGTGTGGTAGCCCAGGCTGCGTGTCACGCACGAAGCTTTTGCCGGACTCGCCGCTCAAAAGCGCCAGAGGGGAAGAGATCGGACACGAACTCGGAGCTGTGCCAGCCAAGCTTTCTAACGTAGGACAATGCCCTGCTTCCGTCCCGAAGCGCTTGCGCTTCGAACTGCTGCATCCTCTCCACCAGCGTGGTGTTGTGGGCGTGCAAGTGCCCCTCAAACACGTCCCTCTCAGGCAAGTCGATGATCCACAAGTCGTCCAACTTGCGCGGGCGAGATAGCATGACGTACATCGCCAGGGCGTAGTCTGCGTCTTTCATCCAGCTGGGCCTGGAAAGGAAGGCCACGAGACCCCGCCGGGCAGTCACGCCCTGCAGCCCGTAGTGAGTCAAAACACAGCGAGGAGCCAGCGGCACCTGCTTGCGCACCACGCTGATCTTCTCCTTGCCCGCAGTATGAAAAGACCAAGCGTTTTCTGAAGATATGGCGCGGATGAAAAAGTGCCCGGGCGGAACGCCCTCATGCCCAGGTAGGCAGTAGTTCTTGTACTCCTCGTCATCTACTTCTACCAGCACTGCCAGAGGCTGATATGCGAGAACAACACACCCCTGACCCTCCGGGACTGGCGGCTCCTTCGGGTGCAGCTCTATCCTTCGAACGATCACGGGCAGCTCGCGTGTCAGCAAGGGCATGGGCAATATGCAAGACACGCGGGCAGGCATGCCCACGTAGAGAGGACACATGCCAAGCAGATATGACGTCTTTGTCATGTTCACGACCTGCAAGGCTGCGAAGACGTGGTCTCTGCTGAGCTGCGTGGGACCCGTGGGGCGGTCAATCGCCTGCGCGAAGTACAAAGTCTGACCGGCAGCTCGGGCCTCCAGCGCGGCCCTGAGCTGCTGCAAGCGGGCCACCTGCTCCCAGGCAAAGCCGCCCCAGTGAGCTTGGAGGAGCTGCTCGCGAGTGGACGCTGAAGTCGCGGAGGCCGAGGTGTAGCTCCTCGCTTTGACGGCTTGCCACAGCTCGTCAGACATGCGCGTCCCACTTCGCATGTGCTGCAAAAGCTGCACGAGCTGTCGCCCAGAAACGCAATCCAAGAAGCGACCTGTGCCGGTGAAGTGGACGACCCGCTGCAGCGACTGCTTGAACAGCAGGCGCCCCAGCTCGGACGCGTTGCTGACCTCACGGAAGACTCAGAGTGAGGCATGGCCTACATCCAGCCGTGGAAATGCGTCAGACAAAAACACAACACTCAAAGCTCACAAACGCCGCCAAGCCCTTGGAGCCTCCTCCGAGTCGTCGTGCTCCGCGTCCGCGTCGGGGTCGGCCGAAGGCTCTGTCGCTGCCTTGGCCGACACCCACTCACAGAGCGACTTCTGCGTGGCTGGGCGCAGCTGCAAGAAGTCCGCCAGCTGGATGCCGATGGGCATCTTGCCAAACCACTCCTCCATGTACTTGCTCATGTCCAGGCCCAAAGGCTCTTGTCGCAGCAGAGAAAACCTATAGCCGGCCGCGTGATACACATCTGGAGGATTCATGGACAGCTCGTCCATCGCCGTGGCAGACGCCTGGGCAATCTGCGCCTCCACGGCGCTGCCCTTGGCCTTGGCACCGCGAAGGTTTCGGCGGTCCAAGCCAGTGTTTGGGCTCACGTTGGCCCACTTGTGCAGCGTCTTCGCCTCGGGGCCAAGGAGTCTGACGGCTGCGTGGGTGGGAGCTCCCACGATGTAGCCAGCGCGTCCAAAGAATCGCTGGAAAAGAGGACGGAGCACCTTCGTATAGGCCCAAGTTTTGCCGGAGCCCCCTGCGCCAAGCCACAAGCAGTTGCACTTCTCGCTGCTGGCTCCATCCGCCAGGCAGCTGGAGAAATCAGTGCGCTTGTCATCCATCTCCTGCATGGCGTTCACGACCGGGGCCACTGCCAGAACTTGCTGCTTGTTCAGGGTGTGCTTCCGCACCAGCTCCAGCGCGTACTCGGCCGGGCCAAGGCCGCGGGCGTTCAAGTCCACCAGGAAGGGGTCCAGCGTTTCCGGCACCGGCGCGAACTCCTCCTCGTCCGCGTCATCCTTGCCCATCTCTGCGTCACCTGTGGCCACAACGGGGCAGTTCCACGAAACCAAGAGACAGCGAGCCAGAAAAGCACATGAAAGCAACAGCGACCGAAAACTGAGCTTGCATGGGATACGCCGCGCCTCCAGAAAGAAACTCCAGGTAGCGCTTTTGAGCGCCAAGAGCCCGCTCTGCATCCGCATGAGTCCAGTTGCGCCGCAGACCCACAGCTCCTTGACCACGAATGCTCAATCCCTGCTGCACTTGAGGGACTCCTCCTAATGACAAGCAGAAATCCGTGAGATTGGTCAGCGTCTCCTTGGTGCGGCTTTGCCGTCCAGCTAGCACTCGAGCCCACTCTGCTTCGCGAAAGAGAACATCCTGCAGTGAATCCAGCGCCACAGCGTGCAGGGCCCGCTCCTGACGCTCGAGAGCATCTTGCTCTCCCAAGCCATCTT